ACATGTATACATGTAATTGCATTTAACTATACCCTATAGGTGTTTATTATTTATATGAAGCGTTACTAAGTTTTACATGTAGTAATTATTAAGATAAGCGGACTGATATATTAATTTGACCAGAGACATATAATAGAGGGACCGCTGACTCATTCGGGGCGTTTCTAGACTTTTCACTTTAAGTTGGGTACTTTAATTCCGAATGGCAAATGATGTTCCGATTTTCGCAGCGCCCTCACCGGGAGGCATAGAAACTATAAAAAGTATGGCGTTTCATCATAGAATGGGTAGTAAACATCGCTACAACTCAAATTTTAAGCAAAATTTTCTCGTGGCATTAATCGTAGGGGGATGTGTAACTTTCGTTTTCATGACGACAAAGAATTGAGAACAAATTTATCTACAGTAAATAGATTGAATCGATCTTCTAACCCCGACTCGAGTTGCATTTGTTCATGATGACTTGTCTTCTTTACAACCTCTACACTAAGAAATACACTGTAACATGTATTTTATAGTGTAGGATAAGAAGACCTTTTTTGACGAGGCCATTTGTTTGCCGTGTTGGTTTTGCACTGGCATGCATTATTTTATTTAGTGGTTATGTAGGTGCTAGATTTCATGCACAGATGCAGCTAGCTAAGTTAGTGTATTTACCGTAATTTTTTTTTTTCATATATCGTTATATAAATATATCTGTATGTATACATTCATTAAAATAAAAAAAAAATTGCTTAAATTAAACTTTTAAAAAAAAAAATATCATATTGCCGTATATAAAATATATTATTTTACTTTTGATTTTTTATTATAACATATCTAAAAACACAAAATACACCATCCTGAAACCAAGCATAGATTGTGACTTGTAGTCTATAATCAAGCAACTCACACATTTTATCATTTACTGCATTTTTAAAACATTGTTACAAGTGCCATTTTGCAAAAAAAAAGTCAATTGAAAAAAAAAATTAACTAAAGTGATGCTCATAAAGAAAACCCCATCACAGTGCACTCGGTCTATGCAACTTAAGTAATGCTAATGGTTTAGGAGCCCTCTATTCATTGCACACCTTAGACTTTTTATGTGGTACTTATATGCAGGAAGACTGACCTTCTGTTAGATCTACATTCTAATTAAAATGAAATAATTTGAAATTTACAGTATATTCATTGATATTAATCAATTCAAGCATTCTTAACATTTATTAAGCCAAAATAAAATTTAATAAATACTTTATTTACATGTACATAAAATCAGCCCTGCAAGCTGAAACAGTTAAAAGAATGTTTTGCCCATACAAAAACCCTGTATTTACTACAAATATATTATTTATATGTAACAAAGCTTTACACAATTTAAATCCTCTGAATGTAAAAAAAAAAAAAATCAGAGAGAGGATGATAAAGACTCTTTGTGAATATGTCGAGGTACTTGGTTACTTTGTCTTTTATTCAAATCTAAATGAAAAACATGTAATATATATTATATATATATATATATATATATATATATATATATATATATATATATATATATATATATATATATATATAATACTTGAAAAAAGTAGGTGTTCAGAAAAGACAAAAATATGTATTGGTTGACTTTAAAGTTAGTTTCATTGTCACACATTTAGACCTTGCAGTAAATTCCAGTTTATATGCATCCCATTGAAATTCGAAAAGTACATCACATATATGCTTTTCTTTTCCTCAGAATTTACAGTCCAAGGAGTGGAAAAATATTCAATCATTAAATTCTCGGAAGTTATAAAAAAAAACCTTTACAAATGTCCTGGAGTGAGAGATAGCTCAGATTTTACCATTAAAAGTTAAGGATATCAGTAATTTAGTTGCAGCATTGTTGGAAAGCCACGCAACAGTAGTGCGATACGAGCCAATGTTTGTTTCAGTCACGTTTTGAGTTTGGCCATGTTTGATGCAGCAGCATGGTACAATTTTAAGCTTTGCAGCTTACGAAACTACTATTACTATTTGTCGCCTTATTCATCCCAAGATCTCACTTAAAACACCCTTATAAAGCAGGTCAATGTCTTTTGGGAAGACAACAGGAAACTTCAGAATCTTGTAGAATCAATCAGTAGAGGTACCATAATATCTGAAAATATGAAAAAGCAAAATCAATGAATAAAAAAATTTAATAGCTCCATGAGATATACATGTAAAACCTGGGTTTAGGGCAATTGCCCATTATAAATATGTATATTTAAAAAAAAAACCACACAAACTACAAAAGCAGTTAAAAAAAAAAAATTCTCCCCCTAAAACAAGGGCACTGCAAGGCGGAGCATCCCCTCACAAAGAGCATAATTATCTTTAAATCAAGGCATCATTCGACATCGATCCTTATGCAAATTTAGATGTTAACAGTTACATGTAGCAGGTTGATATATTTTTTTTAGATTGATTTTTTTTAAAATCATTGTGACATAATAGAAAGAAAATTGCCATAGATTTATGGTGGTGGGAATAAAGTCCCACATTAAAATAAGCATTCTGCATTTCCACTGCTGGCAAGCTGTATCTTTTGCTGAGGAAAGTGATTCATACCTGGAGATTACATGAAGAACCAATTTTCATAAAATTGAATAATGAGTACATGTTTACATGATGTAAAAAATTAACATGCTGATTATTCATTCTTGGATATACGAAAATTCATGCAATCACATGACAGACTACATAAAACCATTCTACATTTATGATAAAATAATACATCCCATGACTATCATCAGGTCTTATGTTGAAAAACTCTCAGGACCCGTAAGTGGGAAGGAATTTCAGTTTTTGGGACACAACCTATTTTAGAAATTTTGGTTGAGCTAAAAAAAAGTTTGTCTGACTTTAATTTAATATCTTTTTAGGAGACACATTAAAGTAACTGTAGTTTCTAATGTTTAGGCTTTGTATACACTCTTACATATAACATGTAGTATCGGGGGCGGGGGAGGGGGTTTCTCCTTTTCGAAACATACCCTTTTAAACAAACTTTTACTGTTGAAAATATCCACTGAAAGCTGCCCCCCTTCTCCATGAAATAGGATTTTCGAGTTCTCACAATTTTACTTTTTTTTTGTTTGTCCAAGATTTTCAGATATACCCCCCCCCCCTTAAAAAAATGATATTTAACTACGTGCCTGTATACTGGCAAAATTATTTTTCCCTTGCTCACCGGTTCTTACGGGCCTGAGTCTACAATTATCATGACGATATAAAGGAACAACTTTTATACAAGACAAAATTTTAACTCAAATTATTGTATCGATGTGACCATTACTTGCATGTCAACATCTGATGATCTAAAAGTTCTACGGTTTTTTTTTTTTTAAATTATCGTTAGAGCTGGAAAAATACATCTAAGATATCACCTTATGTAAATAGTAATTGATGTACAGGCTATATATAATAAAATATAGAATATATTCGCAATATTTACCCCAAAGGCTATGAAGACAACACAGCAGCTCTTATGACAGGAAGTCTTTCTATGCCTCCCGGTGGGGGCGCTGCGAAAACAGGAAGATAATTTGGCGCGAAAATGAGTCAGCGGTCCCTCTATTATATGTCTCTGATTTGACAAAGTATTTCAAACTAAATGCAACATTTTCTCATGTGCGTAACTTTGTAAAGTATGTCCAGCTGTGGCCAGCCGACCAAATCGTAGACATTTAAACTATAAATGTTTCGTACCCCTTATTCCTGCAGATCACACGCCAAACACGCCCATCTTCTTTTAATCAACCATATTTTTTGTTGTTGTAAAAATTCAATGTTAGGTTTTTTTAAAACACATTCATAATTATTAGATTTAATAGATATCTGTTACACTTGTTTTCTTCATTTAATGGAAGTAGGATTTTTCCTGTTTTGGTGAGGATTCTCTGTTCATTATAACTTCGTGTGAAGCTTGAGGATTCTCTGTTCATTATATAACATCGTGTGAAGCTTATATCCTGATGTACAGAAGTAACAAAATTTTTAAAGACAAGATGTATTTCATCAATTTAGCCCCTCCCTGGAGGGCACATATTTCACAATATGGAAAAGAACATATTTTATTTTCATCGGATATAATCTGCTAGTATAATGTACACAAATCCAGTTGATTTTCAAAGGAGTGTGCACTGGATTATGAACTTGCAATATATATAACCTTGTCCTATCCTGAATGCGGAAGGGCATGGTTTTCATAATTTTTAATAACTACTTGTTTGAAGTTAATTATAATCATGTTAACAAGATGTCCATGAGGAGAGATTTTCATAGATTAATTATGAACAACTTGGCCCTCCCTGGATTTCAGGGAATCCAGGGAACATATATGACTATTTTTGTAGATGACTACCAATTCTTTGTTCTTCTATATGTCTGTATGAAAAGGTGTTTTCAAAGATGCAGTATTTTAATTGCATGTCCAACTTGCTCTACCTTGGATCATGAACCATTGGCAGTTTCAAAATTTAAGTATAGAGTTCTACATGTCCACAAGTAAACAGACTTTCAAAGATAATACAGCTTAGCCACAACTAGGGGACATGAATTTCACAATTTTGGTTCAAATGCTCATTATAACCATCCAAATATTCTAGGTGACAGGGAAGAAAGCCAGCTGATTTAGGTATTTAAAAATCAATCTTTACATGTATACAGTGATCTATGTTATTTCATTCATAAAGCATTTTTTTTATATACATACCACCTTCAGACTCCACAAAATTTATAAAGCATCAACTTGATACCTTATCCTTCTACAGAAAACCAAAGCAAGGTGCTTTTAGCAACAGGTCACATAGTGGCAGTGGACAAAGAGGAATCAAGTTCCTGGGTCTGTGCCCGTCAAGGCAGGCCAGCTGAAAGACAATTTCTACTTATAGTCCCATTAACTTACAAGGGATCTGCTGCTTACTGTGTGAGTAATTTATAACCTCATCCAAATCATCACCAGATGCCTGAACCATTGCATACTAAGAGGCAGGTTTTAGCAATACAGTATATTTATTCTTTTCTTCCATGTGTAAAAACAATTTTAACATATAAACACCTAAAACTAGTTAACCATGCGTACTTTGTCCGCTATGCGAGAAACTATACAAACTACGAAGTTCAATGAATTTTGATTACAGAAATGCAAACCTTTTCAAGTGAAATGTCATGATCCATTTGTTCTAATGCTCTAATTCAATAAATTTGATCATTTCTTCTCTCTCTTAAACACTCTTCAAACCATAACTGACAATTTTATCAATGTGACATTATGCTTAAAATGAGAATGCACTCTAGTATGATTTTTACACGGAATAGCTAAATTATATAAAGATAGGTTGGCAAAATAAAAATGAAATGAAAATGACACAAGTACGAGTTACAAACTATTCACAACAATATAAAAATTAGAGACATAACCCAAATGACACTCGAATTTAGTCCATGGCTTTCCTATGAAACTTATGATGCAAGTTAACAGAACAAATGGTGACATGATTTCTTGGCAAATATAACAAGGTAAAGAAATAATCAACAATGTGTTTAGTACATTGTGACATGTATTTCAGTCTTTAATCAGAAATATAAAGGTTCTGCTTGGTTGGTTCCTGGGGGTGGGGGTGGTCTGGAAATCCCTTGGCTGGGTGGCGGTTTTTTGTAAAATCTGTCATAGTAGGATCCAGATCCTAGGGAATCTTCTGGTGGAGCTGGGGGGAGAGGCTTCTCGTAGGAATCATAGTAACCATTTGCCGAGTAGTCATCATCATAAGCTCTAGGGGGTGGGGGAGGTCCTTCTCCTCGTGGGTCTGGGTAACTACAGACAGAGAACACAAGTCAGATCATGACAGTACAAACAGTCAGCTAACAGCTGGCAATTTACACCATTTAAAAGCAGTAAGCATAATACTAATACTGTACATTTAATGCATTTTACAGAGCATTTTTTATTTTATTTATGTCATATTTATGATACAACACACAGTATGATATAGAAGGAATAATAAATATCAGTTCAACAACAGAACCCTTCAGTACAGATGACTGAACAGGCATGATGATCCAAAGAAATATGTTTCCTGGTCCATAGATGCATCCTGATGCCTGGCTCCTGCTAAACAGGCCATGACCCCTTTCCTGGCGGTGCCCCGTGGCCTTAACTGATCACCTGTTACTATCAATGTTAACAAATTAATTATTAAATAAAAGACGCTCAATCAAAATCATTCGGCGGGCAGCAAAGATCGGAGTCGGACGGCATTTGACAGCTTTTTTTCCAAGGGACAGCATGAGAATCAGTAATTAAGTCGGATATGGGATTGGAATCGGCAGAAGTTGCGGCAAGAGTATGTGAGCGGAGGCTGGGTCTGAACATGCATTTGGTAATGTCCACATTCGAGTCATGCTTTGGGTCGTGTCCATGCTTGAGGTTTGACTTATCGGAACAGAATTATTCGGTCCTCTTAGATTTGAAAAGGTATCGCAAGTCTTTCTCTCGCAAGTCCTTTATTGCACCGGACACTTGAACATCTATGTCTAAAAACAAAACAACTAGAAGTGTTTCAGAAGGCTACCACATTGCAGGATAACTACTTACAAATTACCACCACTGTGTGTGTTAGCCTTACAAAATTGAACACTCCTATGAAAGGAACAAAAAGAATCCTGTCTTTTTCGCAATAAAAAAAAAATCCTTTGGATCACTATTTCAAGACCAGGTTAATACTAAAGCAATTTTCCAACAGCTTTCTTAATTTATGAAGAGAAAAGTCTAGGTGCACTGCCTTTGAAATGGACAGTTATTAGCCAAAAAATTATTTTATATCAAATGTTAGACATAAAAAGTACATCTTGGCTACATAAATATCCATGTCATCAGCAGCTCACCCAAATCTGTTCTCTACTGTAGACAGGGTTCTTGTTTGTCCCAGGAATGAGGTCAGCTTTTCTGTACTTACTTACCTTCTGCTGTAGTAGTCTGGGGGAGGACGAGAGCCGATGGCACCCCGATCTCTGTAGTAGGGATCTGATGCAGCTGTCCTTGGACGCTCATATCTGTCATAATCAGGGGGTGGGGGGCGTCTCTCATACCCATAGTATCTGTCCCTTGGCGGGTCATACCTTAATTTAAAAAAAAAAAACTTGAAATTCAAAGTTAAACTTTTCACAAGAATTTACATTGTAGTTAGCTCCAGTTCTTCAATGTTAACAGTAAAGTGGTCCTCTCTATCAAAGGTCAATTTTTCTCAACATTGGAAAATAAAGACTCAATATGAATGATTTTTTTTTTAAAGAAAAGGACTTGAAATGTCAATTTCAGGTTCAGATTATAAAATTTAATGGAAAAAAAAAAAAATAATAATAACAACATGATTTCTGGCTCAACAAATCATTAGAAATTAACAAATATAAAAACTCTGATCTCATTAGCTAGTGTCAGCATGCAATAACATATTTTTAAAACTGAACATTGGGAACTAATCAACATCCTGACTACTTACCCCCCAGGAAGTGCTGAGGCTCCTGCACTTCTAACATTCAAATACAATTTGATTAAATACAAACATGAAGTCCTAATAAGATATAAGCTCAATACAACTAAAAAGCCATTTATCTTTTCAAAAAAACTCATACATAGCATGAAGAGTTTTAAATAAAGAAAAATCACCTGTCTGGTGGAGGTCCTCGTCTGTCATCCCTGGGAGGGTATCTGTAGTAGTCATCGTAAGGAGGGGGTCTTCTGTACGGATCATATCTGTCACGGGATGGTGCCCCATATCCTCGGTCACCGCCACGACCACCTCCTCTCCCACCTCCTCTCATTCTACCGCTAACAATGATACACAAAGGTAACAACAGTGTTCAATTCTAAAGATATTTCTTATATGTTAAATAAAAGCTGAACTATTGTCAACGAACAGTTGGGATAAAATGTAAAAGGAATCATTTTCTTTAATATTTTTGATATGTGATTTTACCTTGACACTGCAAAAACTTGTAAATTAAAGGAATACATACCCCCCTCTTCCACCTCCTCTAGACTTTCCAGTGGAAAGCTAAAACACAATTACACTTGATTTTTTATACAGGTCTTATTAGTGTTTACAATAACATTCTCACTAAGCTTTATCATCAACTTTTGATCGAAAGTATATACTCACCTCCACACGCATTCTGTTCCCCTTAATAGTGTAGCCATCAAGATTTTTGATTGCATCATCAGCCTCTTGCTCACTTTGCATATGCTGAAAGGTACATTGATAAAATGAATTTCATCAAAAGTGCTAATGCAATCATATCAACAATAAAGCCAAGACCTACAGAGAATTTATTGTCCTTTTATCTACTCTAATATTATTAATTAAACAGACTAATTAACTTAAAAAGAAAACGGTTATATATGCGTATAAAGCCGTGTAAGTTGAAACGGTACGCCTCAATAAAAATTAATTTTTTTATTTCGCTATTTGTTCTATGTTGTTAAAATCCAAGCAAGAGAAATAAGAATCGTGTTTGCAGCAGTAATATTTCGGAGAAAGTGCATCGCAGAACACTAACGGGATTAAAGATGATGCAAGATGAAATATAATATCGACGACATAACACAAATATTCTGGCAATATTCTGTAGGGCTGGCGTTAACATTAATTCTGGCTTTGAAATTTAAAACTGCACTGTGCTCAATTTTAAAATAGGAGCACATCTTTTATTATTATTATTATTATTAGAATCATTATTGTGCTCATATTCATTGGTTAGATGAATATGACCACTAACACTTTATTAATTTTAAATCTTCTTTTTTGGCCAGCCCTATTCAATTCCCATTTTCTGAATAGCGGACATACCACAAAACCAAAATTTTTTAGGACATCGCATTCTGTTACTTTTCCATATTTTTCAAATAATTCACGCAGATCTTCTGAACGGCAGTTACTTCCCAGGTTACCTATAAATATTTTTGTCGGCATGGTAACGGTCTATTTGCTGATCTATCTGAAAAACAAAGCACATGTTTCATACGAAATCATATTATCAACGGTTTCCCTCAAGAATGAAAATCGCAAATAAAGGTTTCCTGTACAATCCTCTTCCATGTCACTTTAAGATGATACGAAGCATGATAGTGTACAGTTGAAACAGTAACACACGCATCGTATTGGAATTATGAAGTGAAACCATGGTCCAAATGCTGTCATTGCTGGTACAGGGTTTCAACATACGTCATACAATGAAAAAGCGGTAATATTAATCGAAAATAAATCGAAAATTCGAGTGCAAGTACATATACCTGCTACGATGCCTCATGCGTTTTTCTCAGCACAAAGGCGCGCACATGATATATGTGAACTACCTTCGCACTTGTACTTTCAACAACCTAAACTGCGGTAGAATCGAAATCCTATTCAAGATGTACAAGTTAGCAGATTACTGAATGTATACTTACATGATATGCAACAAAATTAGTTAATTTTCACTCTCTCTACAAGCCACCCATTTACAATATTCAAGATGGCCGACCCCACGCCGGAATTTGAATCTGACGTCATATTAGGTACTGGGTAATACAAGTATAAGAATGAGACCGAGCCGGGGGGCTATAAAATATTTCCTGCATGAAATGAAAGACATCTGGATATATTTTAGATCACATGTTTTGTTCTTACCGCGATTCTTCATTTAATACATTGTAAAAGAAAAAAAGACATAAAAATTGACGTAATTTTATACCAGGTGACACATTTAAATTACAAATACATGTTATTCTCTTTTCATGTAGTTCCTCTCCAACTCCCGATTTGCTCCTTCAATTTGAAAAAAAAAAATCTTCAGGCTAAATATTGTCCATCATTACTGATATGATGCCGAATGCGAAGTGGTCTAGAATTTCTTGAATCTTAGTTACTGCTAAATCATGATCAGAAAAAAAAGTTAATATAATTGTGTAGCTCAATGTTTGCAAACATTTACCATGTTTATCATCAAGTTCTGGGTGACACGAAACGCCGAAATGTCGGGGTTTTGCCGAAATGTAAGTAGAATGCGCCGAAATGACTGATGAAATACTGCAATGACTGTGGATATCAATTGATACGGATACTAATACCTCACAAACATAAACTTTTTGAGGTCAATCCTTACCCGTAAGGTTTTAGAGCCCATTTTATCGTAAATATTGGAGGAAGTCAGCCGCCATTGACGGGCTTCATAGTAGACCGTATTCCACGCCCGATTGTTTTTTTTTTTAAATCCGCTTTGTAATATGTCAGTCTCGTATTACGTTTTTATTTAAATTGTAAATGATATATTATATACCTTTTTTTTTTTTTTTTTTATTAAAAAAATAATTAATGAGGATGTTGATCATCAGGATAATATGAACAGAGTTCCCGAAACTAGTCAAAAATCTGTCGGACAATTGTCCTGTAAATATTAAAAAATTACTGGACAATTGTAAAATTTACCGGACATTAATATTTTAGATAAAATTAGAGAAAAACATGTACATTAAAGTAATGCAAAACAGTTAAAACATTTTCAAGCTAATTTATTCCCTTTTTCCCTTTTTGTTTGTCTTAATTGCCTCTGTAGTCCATGATCAGGAAGACCATGGGGCAAATGTCCTTTGTAAATCCTCTGTGACATTCTTTACTTTATTATTAAATTTCATTATGAATCAAAAGTGAAAAATACGTCACATGTACAGTGTCTGGTCCTGGTTAATTACATAGAAGAGATTTACTGAAACAGTGCGACATTTAACTCCGGACACGACATAGTCCGGATTTTTTACTACCATTTCTAATTGTGTTATCCAAAAAAAAAAATATAGTAGTTGGTGGGATTTTTTTTAGCAGTATCACATGCTCTCATGTTGAACTCACAAATATCTCTTAGTTTAAAAAATACTAAGTCCTAAATATCAGAATCCCATGGGAGAATGGTGGGATTTTTAGTCCTAACAACTATCCCACCTTTCTCCCATGGGAGAAAAAGTATCAGATGGGATATTTTCGTTTTAAAGTTTGCATACTTCGTAGAGCACGCCTGCCGAGAAAATCTAAACGCCCGCGGTGTTGTCTCTCTAATTTCTTATTATACAATATTTGATATATTAATTTAATAAAGTATTTGGTTAACATTTGACCAAACATTAATTCAAAAAAAATTTTTTTTTTAAGATTTGATTCAATAGAGAGTTTGCAATATTAAAGGAGAAAAAAGGAACTGCTGTGTATAGACCACGTACTTCGTGTTTTTCTTTCTTTCATTTTAATAAAAACTTAAGGTATTTGATTTCATATTCGTTTACAGAATTACGAAGGCTCAGGAGCACATGTGCACATGTCAGTAAAAGCTATGCGTTTTACGGGTAGTCGTTTTGAATCAGAATCTGAAATATTCAATGTTGTCCTTTTTTAACATCAACGTATAATTATTATTTCAGGTTATATGTAAATAGATACAAAATGTTACAGGTAAGAGAAAGGTAATAATTTAGGCTATTCCTATACAACCATCTATATGTCTAGCAGAAAAGGAAATAGACAAAATGACTAAGAAAAACAGCATGTACATATATTTGACATGTACATGTATACGAAATATCTTTATCAGTCATTCTACGATAAGAGGACCAATTCAGGGTATAAAACATGAAAAAAAAAATAATTGTTTCAAATAGCAAAACGAACATCATAATTCTCTAAAGAAAGTATCAGTTAACTTAAAAAAAAATTATCCACAAATCGGCTATCGTAAACTTTTTACAACAATTTTAATATAACATTGATTTCAAGGAATGTTACGGAAGTTAATGCTTGAACAAGTCTTATTATTTTTTAAATAAAGCTGATTTTGACCAATTTTTGTTTTCTGATGTTCAGTATAGAACACTAAATTTTGATTCATGAAGTCTCGCGTGAATTTGATAAGTTAAAATTTCGTGAAAAATATCGTTACGGAAGTTAATCGTTACGGAAGTTAATTTCCTGCAGTAAAAGTTAAAAATCTCGACAATATTTAAAATTAACTGTTGTTTTAAGATGTTAATCAAAAGTATGAAGCATTTCGCTTCCAAAATTAAAAAAAATATATATACCTAAAAAATTTCCTGAATTACGGTTACGGAATTTAAATTTTTAAGAGAGACAACTGTTTATGTCGAAAATTTAATGGTCTAAAGTAGCTCGCAAGATGTTGAAAATAATCGATTTTATTCATTTATTTTGATTAGAAAAAAAAATTAATCCCTCGAAAGTTCCAAATATTCCCGCTATATATGGTAAAAATGGCAAAAGACCAAGTACACAAATGTTACAATATCTTTGTTATAGTATATGAAGATCGTTAAAATTTGTCTGAAATGATATGGATGTCTGAATTTATGTTTACTGTGTATACACAGACTGCAAATCTCAATGAAACTAAATTATCGATCTTCATGTATACCCGACAAGTGCGTAATATTATGTGGTATTACATAATTAGGTACATGACAAACTGTGAAGTTTTGCACGTGCGCTATATACACTCCATGATGGAATAATGAACCATAAAATCAGAATTAGTATAAAAAAAAAAATTACATATTAAGTTCAATAAATGAATTTAAAGAAAAATAGAGGGATTTAATCATGTTAAATAAATACACTTGCACGTTTTGAAAACTATAGGAAAGATCGCCGATTTACATCCGAATGCTGCATTTTTGACCTGACTGAGAATGTATTTAATCCATTAATAAAATCAATATAGATCAATAAAAAATTAATAATAAATACTTGACTACATATATTGAAGAACAAATATAATTAAAAAAAAAATAAAATCATTCCAATTTTTTTTTTCGACTAGGTCGTAAACAGTGGTATATATGTCCTTGTTTTTTTTTTTTTTTTTAAATCTATATCTAAAACTATTGTGGGTTTATTTTAGCAAAATTTATACCAAGCGAATTGAAGTTTATTGCATGCTAATATAGCTAAAATATGTAAATGAATCATGTCTATAAAACGCATCCGTTACAGAAAAAACAACAATGTCATCAAACATGTATTTACACAATCCATTTCTTTATGCTTCTTTTTACCCAAAGAATATTGTTTTGACTAGTATGTTTAGTAAGAACATTTTCATTCAAGCTCCTCCCCCGGCAAATATTTTTACCAAAATAATGAGGACCTCAGTCCCAACCCCAAAACACACACATACACAAAAACACACACACGAACGAATATACGCCTCTTCTTCTTCAGATTAGTATTGTAGAGATTGTTGTAATGGTTACACAGTCTGTATCGTGAATCAATTTACATATATCTTCATTAATGGTTTCCGAAACTTTCCTTGATTATGATTCGTTTATTTTCTTTTTTTTTCTTTTTTTTTTTTTGGGGGGGGGGGGGGAATGAAGACAGAAATGAGAATCAGAAACGTGAAAAGAAGTTCAACATGTATTTACAATGTCACATCACGATCTCAAGTTTAGACTAATTTGATTCAACCAAACTTTAACAGTTCAATTGCTACCAGCATGAAACATGAATAATTTATTGCACAAGTTGTGTCTAACAAATTAATGTACACACCATATGAGAGACAATTTTATTTTATTACTAAAGGTGATTGAAACTGTGATAAAATTCCAAATTTGCAAAAAAATCATTAAGTACTTGATCCATCTGCATGAAGTTGATAAACATGCAATCTTCTTGTTCAAATTAATATATATTGCATGTATGATATAACTGTAAATTGTCTCACTTTATTTATCACAATCATATTTTAAACACTGTTTGTATAATGAGGAAAGGATTTTTAAGTTGAAATAACTTGCATCCTATCCTTTTCGAAATTTATATCATTAATACAAAAAAAAAATAAATAAATTAAAAAAACCCAAACAAACAAAAAACAAATTCCCCAGTTTCCGAACATCGTTTGCGATATAAATTTATCAATTATATATCAATAATAATCCATTGATATTCACAATAATTTATAATTGATAATTATATTTTTGAATCATTTATTCTTGAAAAAATATTGTATTTCGAAGAGAAGATAATTAATGAGCATTTAGAAATGATTGTTTAATGATTAATTCTATATAATTTCAAATATTTTTAAATGTTTTTTCTCATAAATAATAATAATTGTATAATGAATGAAACATTTATAACATATCTGTACTTTATAAGAAAAAAAAAAACAATCGGGCGTGGTATACGGTCTACTATGAAGCCCGTCAATGGCGGCTGACTTCCTCCAATATTTACGATAAAATGGGCTCTAAAACCTTACGGGTAAGGATTGACCTCAAAAAGTTTATGTTTGTGAGGTATTAGTATCCGTATCAATTGATATCCACAGTCATTGCAGTATTTCATCAGTCATTTCGGCGCATTCTACTTACATTTCGGCAGAAACCCGACATTTCGGCGTTTCGATGCACCGTCAAGTTCTATTTCACGAGAGCTATGTCATAATTATCATATTTAGTCTCATACTTGATATTATACTTATTTAATTAATCTTATATTACTGCATTTT